AGTTGTTTCTCGGTAAATAATTGGAAATCATTCTTTTATAGAATGGTTTTGAAACTTGGCAATACCCTATGGTCCAGTTATTATAAGATGATACTGGGTGATGACTGGGGATTGTCTCATATCTTTTTAGGCTGAGTGATGTTGAAAGACCACAATTTAGCAAACTAGACAGATCTGGATTCAAACCTTAGTTTTGCCACTTGTTAGCCCTGTGAAACTTAGGGACACATTTAGCCCCTTTGAAACCTCATATTCCTTATACATAGAAAAGGGATAACAGTGCTTGTTTCATTAAATTCCTGAGATAAGTAAGATAATAAAGTTTGCAAAGTACTTATTTATATTGCCTGCGACATAGTAAACATTCAATTAATGCAAATTCTCTTTTGTGTTTTTAAAAAATAAATAATATTTGCCCTGGCCAGTATGGTTCAGCAGTTAGAGCATCGGCTTGTGGACCACAGGGTTACAGGTTTTGATTCCTGGTCAAGGGCGTATACCTGGGTTAAAGGTTTGATCTTGGCCCCTGTCAGGATCGTACAGGAGGCAACCAATTGATGTGTCTCTCTCATATCGATGCCCCCCCCACCTCCCTTCCCCTATGTCTAAAAAAAAAATCAACAGAAAAATATCCTCCGGTGAGGATTAACTAACTAACAAATAATATTTGACAATATAAAGATATGTTTAATATGTGAAATAAAATACAAATTTATTTCCACATTAATTTTTGGGAGATTAGTATTGCTTTCTGTACCTCTGGAGAAATCTTGATAAGAGTACTGGATATTGTATATTATAGGATTCTCATATCCCACCCCGCCCCCTGCCACTAAAAAATTATTTTTTTAATTTTCAAAAAATGTTTTTCAATTTCAGATTACATTTAATATTATTTTGTATTAGTTTCAGGTGTTCAGCTTATTACTTAGGCAATCATATACTTTACTGAGTGTTCCCCCTGATTTTTCCAGTACCTAACTGGTTCCATACATAATTATTACATCTCATATTCTTTATTTAGTTGTATCAACCATATAGGCAAATATAAGCATAATAGTTGATTATTATTTTTTAAAAGCTTCAACATTTTTACGGTAAACTTCCATAAAATAGAAATTACTCTGTGTAAGTTGTATACAGTAACTTACAAATTAATTCAATTTAAGAAAAATACAAAGTTTCTATCAAATGATATGCCATCAGTTTGAGGAAAATGGCATTACTTTGGTTTGTTAAGATAAACTTAAAGTCCCGTTAGACACCAGCATTGTCATGTTTCTGAGGTTAATTGGCTACATTCAGTTATAGGTTATGAAAGGTCCCATTTGAATAATTCACCAAACAATCAGGCAGAAAGACCAAAGTTCACAGAACTAATTGACCTTGTCAGTATAATAGAAACACTTACAAATAAAATTCTCTTTGCCAACAACATTGCAAATGAAAACCTCAGAAGAAACGGTTGTGTCCTGTAACTGTCCTGGAATGCTGTGATTCAGTTAGATAGTGGATGGAGATGGGTCTTGGATGGAAGTTGCGGGTGAGGAAATGTAAAAGGAGGGAAAACTTTGGAGAGGAATTAATTAGGCAAAATGTTAGAGAGAAACACATAGCTTTAGAAATGATTTTAAACATCTTGAATGTCCAAAAAGTAGTGTCTTTGAATCTCTGTGAAAGTAGTGTCTTTAAGTTTGTTATATTTTCACCCTTGTTCTGTATCTCAAGTCCTTTTGTATAGATTTGATAGTCGTTATTGCAGTGAGCTGTTTTCTCAAAGGCAAGAACACAACTTTGACAAAGCCCAGGGCTGTAATAAGGGTGAAGCATGTTTGTCGTCCTGCATTCTTGCTTCATTTACCAATATATGACAAATACTATCTAAAGCATCATTATACCCTTGAATCTAAAATGGCTGTTTGTTGGTTGGTTGATTGGTTGGTTGGTTGGTTGGTTGGTTGAGGTTTGGATTTGTGCCAGAGTGGGGGAAGGGAGAAATGTTGGAAGAAACACAGAACAGTCATTCCCTAACAGATTTTGACAATTGCTTTCTCTCTCTCTCACTCTCTCTCTCTCTTTTGGTAATGATGCAAACCATGTATTTTATTAAAGAACCCCCAGAGCAATATATCAATCTTTCTTAAAGAAAGTAAATATATTCAAAATGTCCTATGAAATTTAATGAACCACTAACAGGACTTGGTCTTTAAAGGAAAACAACAACAACACTTTAGCTTAAAACTCATATGGGGGATATGGGTCCCCAAAAGTAAGCTACAGAAACTGTGCAGCAGATATCAGCCTTCATTGTCCTACAGTAAAAGGGTGATAACATTCCTGTTGCATTTTCTTTCTTTCTTTTTTTTTTAAAGCATCTTTTACATTGTAAGAAAAAGACAATCAACTTGTTAAGTGGGCTTCAAAAATAGTAATAAAAAAAGATTTATAACAGAAAGAATTGATGGTATATTTCACCTAGAGTAAGAAAGACAATGTGTAATAAGGGATTTTGTGGTTTTACAGCTCAGTGCATGTGTTTGAAAGCTGTTCTCTCAGCAACGTGGGTGGCAGGTTATGCTACCATATAATGTATTGTAGTTGGCTCTCCACACTTGTCAGGGTTAGTGTTCAACCATTCGGAAAATTTTCCCATTGTTCTAGCATGTGAACCAAGACCAGTGTTGAATTCCCAATAACTTACAAAAAAAAAAAAAAAAAAAAGGTTTAATTAGAAAGTTTGAAATTTTATTACATCTTATTGTTTCAGAAGTACTACATGTATTAGTATTTTATCTATTTTTGCAATTATTTTTCAGTAAAAAAGATACCAAAATCAAGACTTTATTTATTCTTTTTAAAGTAGGTTTTACAGAAATCTGTACACTGAATCTTGCCCTTTTTTCTGTATTAACACTCTGTTTCCATCTTAAGCATTTTGCTTTAGATGGACCATGGCTCTTGGCAGCTAGTGCATTTTTAGCAAATAATACTGTTTCTAGTAAGGGTTGCAGAGAAAAAAAAACTTAGTGTGAGGTCCTTGTAAACTGAACCTTTGGAACATTACTTTATTTCTTTTTTCCCCCCTTTTGTGCTTCTTCTCTATTTGTGTAATGGTTATAAATTACATCCTTTGAAAAGAAGAATTAAAAACATTTTGTTTTGTTATTTTTTGTAGTTGATTTTTTTTCTTTACCTGTTATTTTAAAGATACCCAGAGAAATAAGCAATTATGGTATTGAAATTCCATTGTGCCAGCACCTCCACAGCATAATCCAAAGAAAACAGAAAACCGCCTGCTGGGTTGTCTGCAGTGTGCTTGTGTGGACATCAGTGTCTGCTGTTCACACACCATTTTTTTTACTGAAAGTTCCTTTTGGAATAAAGACTCTGTGTTTTCTGAGTGTGGTGAAACATTTGTTGGTCCTTATATTTTAAATTTGTGAGGATTTCTGGGTATAGGCTTAGTGTCTTAGATGTATATTACATGATTGTCACTGGCACATCAGGAAGCAGAGAAAAAAGGCTTATCTGCTTATGTACTATAAAATAATGGAAAGCTTTAAATGAAATCACAAAGGTAAGAAATTAAAGGTAAGAAATAATGAGCTTTTTAAATATATAGATACAGATATATGAAGAAGGATTGATTTAAACATTGACTTCACTTGAAATTCAGATATTTAAATATGGTGGCTTCCTGACAGCACTGAGTTAGTAAATTTTTTTCAATTGACCCTACATAGTTAAAGAATGTGTTATAAAGTATCTTATGGATTCTTAATTTTTTATTTTTAATCTTATTTACTTTATTCATTTTTATTCTTACTATGTTGTTGGATATCATTTTAGACACAGACATCAAATTTGTAAAATTTGGTTCAGTGTGTGGGCAGTCTGAACCTTTCACTCAGAACTATAAAACATCCAAAAGAGAAAGTGTTTAGCAGATAATAGGGAACTTCAGGTTTAAATTTGGTGAAATGGAAGTTGATGCCCAGTCTCCTTTAAGGTTTATTTGACTCATTCAAAATTATTTGTTTTTTCTTAAACACTTTCTACATAGAAGTTATACACATCTTTGATGAAACTAGGTTTTTACCCATTTGAACTATTTTTATTGAGAGAGAATTTCAGGTTTGTTTGCCTCTGAATTTTACTCTTGAGTTTCTTAATTAAAAGCACTTTTACATTTCATAATAATTACATCAATCTTTTAATTATTGTTTCTTCTGATTATGAGAATGAGGTTGCTGTCTGTGGGATCAGTTACTGTGTTAGTCAGTGGGCCCAGCGGGCACTGGTGATGCTTGCTCCTCTCCACAGGCCTCCTCACCTGGCTTTTCATCCGTCTTAACCTTTCTTTGAGGTCTATGGATGGAAAAGGTTGTCATCTAAACAAGATATATCTCACCTGTGCCTCCAGGAAAGGGAACTAAAGGCAGCAGTTCCTTAACATGGTAGTTTTATAAGGGCCTAAGAGCCTGAGCCCTGATTGCCAGGAAGCCTAATTGCTCACAGGGCCACCTGGCACACTGCCATTTCCCCACTGGCTGTGCCGCTGCTGTGAATGGAGCAGAGTGTCTGCTTTTCTACTCCCTGTCACTGATTGCAGTTGAGGAAAATGATAGTAATTCACATCAAGATGAAGTCAAACTTCATAATATCTAAGTAATAAGTAGTGGAGTTAGTTTAGTGCTTTTAAAATTCATGTTAAATAAAATTCATTACTTCTTACTCTAAAATATTCATTTTGTATAATTCTACCTTAACCATTCTAGACAGATGTTTTAGATTTGAATAAACACTTAAATGTAAATTATGAGGTGGTTTTTTTGTACTTTTATAAACAAAATTTGTTATATATATGAGTTATGGGACCAATGGAAATCACAGATCTTGGAAGCAAAATGTGTGTGTGTGTGTTGGGGGGTTAGTTCCATCTGTTTTGAAAATATGTTATTGAGAATACTAGACATATTGCCATTTAATTTTTATTTTTATGTCATACGGGTAATATGCCGAAGTCGTAACAAGGTTTTGAGAGACACATCTCACACAAGAGCGTGAACACCCAATCATCACACTTATGAACTACAAAAGGATCTGCACTTATTTTTTTTGTTAATTCTCACCTGAGGATATTGTTCCATTGATTTTAGATAGAGTAGATGGGGGTGAGGAAAAGAGAGAGAGAGAAACATTGATATGAGAGACACATTGATTGGTTGACTCCCGCATGACCCAGACCAGGGCCGGGGATTGAACCTGCAACCCAGGTACGTGTCCTTGACCAGGAATTGAACCCACAACCCTTTGGTTCGAGGAGCCAAACTGGCCAGGGCTGCATTTAATTTTTAATATAACTGGAGGTGTATGTTGGGTTTTCACCTCTGCCTGGACCTACAACCAGCTCTTCACTGTGTTCCACTGTCGTGCTTTGCTTCTAGGTCCCACGACTAATAGGAAACAGTGAGTATCCCGAGACTTTCACTTCTTGTCTTCCCAGGCCCCTCAGATCTCACATCTCTTTAAGGCAGACACAGGATTATAGGTTTTTGAACTGCTGATGTTTATTTACTTGTACTAATATCAGAATATGTTCTTGTCTTATTTTTATTTCAGACAGACATACTTGAACACTACTTTATTACTTTGATGTTCAAAGTTTTGGCAGGGAAATTGTTTTCAAAATCTGGCTTCATCCTACACTGGCTAGGTAACCTTCAACAGATTATATATCCTCTCTGCACTTCAGGTTACTCAGCTATGAATTAGGGATAATTAGAACAAACGTATGTTGCCCTGGCTGGTGTGGTTCAGTTGGTTGAGCATCATCCTGTGCACTGAGAGGTTGCTGATTTGATTTCAGGTTGTGGGCTTGATCCCCTGTAGGGGGCATGTCAGAGGCAGCAGTCTATGTTTCTCTCTCTCATCAATACCGCCCCCACACACACACTTCTTCTCTCTCTAAAATCAATAAAAATATTTTTTAAAAAAACAAACAAAACCCAAATAAATGTTCAGTGTCTGGCATATGGTAGCAGATCAGGAAATGGTAGCTGAAAAGAGAAAGGCCTTGAAAACTGGTGATGTTTTTATAGGCTGTAAAAGTACCACTAGTATGCTTTTCTATGTAATCTTATGAAATTGGGGAGTTTTAGTTACACATAACTATTGGATTCACATTTATATCTTTGAGTTGATGAAGATCCGAGAGCATGGGCTTTGGAGTCATCTTACCCAGGCTTGAGTTTCTGCTCTGCAGCCTAACTGGGAAACTTGGAAAGTTAGCTTCTCTGTGCCTCGGATTTCTTGTGTATAAAATTAAGGTGAAAATAGTGTACTTCAGCCTGGCCAGTGTGACTCAGTGGTTGAGTGTCAACCCATGCACCAAGAGGTCACCAGTTCGATTCCCAGTCAGGGCACATGCCCAGGTTGTGGGCCCAGTCCCCAGTGAGGGGCATGCAGGAGGCGGCCAATCATTGTTCTCTCTCATCATTGTCTTTATTTCTCTCCCTCTCCCATCCTTTCTTTATAAATCAGTAAATAAAAATTACATATATAGCCCTGGCTGGTTTGGCTCAGCGGTTAGAGCGTCGGCCTGCGGTCCTGAGAGACCCGGGTTCGGTTCCCGCTAAGGGCATGTACCTCGGTTGTAGTTTGTCCCCGGCCCTGGTTGGTCATGCGGGTGGCAGCCACTCGATGTGTCCCTTCACATCAGTGTTTCTCTCTCTCTCTCTTCCTCTCTCTCCCTCCCGCTCTATCTGAACAAAAAATGGAAAAATGTCCTCGGGTGAGGATAAAAAAAAAAAAAAAAAATTACATATATAAAAAAATAGTGTACTTCATAGCGCTCTTGCAAGGCTGAAGTAAAATCAGTACATTTAAAACTCTTAATTAATGCCTGGCAAAGAGTAAGTTGTAGTTAACTATGATTATTTCATAGAAAAGGAAAAAGCAGAAAACTTGAATGGAATGAGCCTTAATTAATGGATGTCTCTGTCATCTACTGTTAAATAATTTCCTTTACCTTTCTTTCCAGTCCCCTTCAGAGCTCCACATCTTCTTAAAATGTATTTAGGATTATATTGTAGTTAGAATTCTGCATTTTATTCATTATCTCCATGGAATTATGATATTTTTAATCAAATGTATTTCTTGATTTTTTTCACTTGCTCCTCATAAGTCTTGCCTTAGTTTTTTTTAACAGTTCTTTTGAAGGCAGCTTTATTGTGAAAAGATTTTTTAAAGGCTCTATTGCTCTATGGAATACTTTTTTTAAAAAGGTAATTGGGTCTCCATGTATCCTTCTGCTTCTATGGGACTTTTAAAATTTTTTAAATTTATTTTTAGACAGAGGAAGGGCGAGGGAGAGAAAGATAGAAACATCGATGAGAGAGAACATCGACCGACTGCCTCCTGCATGCCCCCCACTGGAGATTGGGTCCACAACCTGGGCATGTGCCCCGACCAGGAATTGAACCGGCGACCTCTTGGTCCATGGATCGATGCTCAGCCAGTGAGCCACACTGGCTGGGCTCTATTGGACTTTTAAAATAAGCAATTATTTACTTAGTTGTTAAATGATTTATGTAAAAAAGTATTTTATAGTGATTCTTTGGGATCTGAAATTTCTCACTCCCCCATCTATTTTTCAGTGGTTTATAGTCTAGTGGGAGGCCATCAAACAGCTTAGATATATTACCAACATGTGTACCTAAAGGCTAACTTGAACGTCTTCTTGTTTTGAGAATTACTGTTAAGATTTATGGTGATAGAATGACAGTGTACTTTTTAATTTGCTATACCTTAAGAATTACTCATGCATATAAAAAGTCAATTTGTATATATTTGCATAAGGTTTTCTCATAGCAGCTGTACATACAAATTGTGTTTCATTTTTTGTTCTAGGGTAAAATATAAGTTAATGTCAAATGTAAAGGAAATATACATTTATTTTAGAGCCCATTTAATAGCAAATTATAATTTACCAGGAATATCAAAGACTTGGGAAAAGCTAAACCTCACTTACAGCGCAAGAAGCTCTGCAGCTGTGTGCTGGGGTTTCTGCAGCCGTGTCTGCTGTGCTTAGGGCTCCCCCTCCCCAAAGTCCATGAAACACACATGCACAGTTTATGTATGTACATAACTTTTTAATGTAAGAAATAGAACTTTATGAGCATCCCAGAAGCTGGGAGTATACCTCTTCCCTTCTCTGTCACGGTCCTTTCCCTGCCCCTTAGAGGCAGCCACTGCCTTCACTTTTTGTGATAATTTCCTTAGTTTTCAAAAAATGTTTTTATCACCTTTTTAAGTTTAATTTTTAAAGTTTAAGTATATTTTCACTACATTAAAACATGTACATAGGTTAAAAGCCTGAAAGGACTGCAACAGCGTTTATAAAACATACTTCTCTCCCTCTCCAGTATCCCATCCTGCTCCTTGGGAGCAGTGCTCTTAGCTGTTTCAGCCTTGTTTGCTTTCATACTTCTAAATAACAGATGTACACAGATATCTTAAATAAATCTGCAAAGCTGTTTTCATATCTGATGCTGGAGCTTGAAGTCCACAGGCCCGCTGCTGCCCCATGACCCAAGGTGAGCCAGCAGGTGGTGACAGCGTGTGATCTACAAGAGCGTCAGCCTCAACCTGAATGTGTAAAACAGAATGGCTGCTACTTCACCTCTGCCCTCCAAACCTTGTGTGAGAATATTTCGTGTTCCGACTCACCAGAAGCATGCGAGGAAGGGAATCCTGGGAAACGTAGTTTAGGCTAGGCCAAGTGACACATTACAAAGCTGTCATAGATGGCCATGAGAATGTTCCTCTCAGAACTATTACCTGTAGGAGTGGAACTGACTGATGTTCTCTGAAATCCATCACCATAGTTAGTGCCAAGACCATGCCTTCCAGTCTTCCCCCAGGCAGTGAGTGAGCAGAGCAGGGCTGCTAAACCAAGCTCATTCCTGGGGACTCCAGTCTTGTGACAGGCCGCCTGGGCTCAGGGAGTCCCTGAGAGCCTTGCTGAACTTTCCCTGGAACTGCGCTGCCGTCTCACATGCTCCACCCAGCCTTCCTTCCTTCCCTGGCTCCCTCCCCTGGGCTCAGACCTGCATCACTGCCTGACAGCTCTCCCAGCTTTGCCTGGCTCCCTCCTCCTCTTCTCCCAAAGACATTGCCCCTGATAAATATCTGGTACATCTATCTATTCATGTCTTGGTATCTGTTTCTCAGATGACCTGGACTAACAGCTAGCTGTCCTCTTAGGATAGCCCTTTAATTGCATCCTGGGAATTTCATTCACCTTCTCTTCTGGTTGATCCCTTGTTTTCTGGATCCCAGGTCTTCATCTTTTTTGATTTACTTCCTTTTTTGGTGGAATGTGCGTACTCCACATGGGAGGTAAAATTGTTGAAGCCTTGCATGACTGAAAACTTTATTTTAATCTCACCCTCGAGGGATGATTTGGCTGGGTATGGAATTCTAGTTTGGAAGTAATTTTTCATCAGTTTTAAGTACATTCTCCATTGCCTCATAGTTTTCAGTGTAAATATTGAGGAACACTTGATTTTTGATGCTATGCGTTTGACCTATTTTTCTCTGTAGAAGCTTTTATAATCTCTTTATCTTTGATGTTTAGAAATATCACAATGCTATGCCATGCTTGTATGTGTGTGTGTGTGTGTGTGTGTGTGGTGTTTCCTTCATTGGGCTGGGTGCTCAGTGGATCCCATCAGTGAGGAGTCACCTGTCTTTCAGTTCTGAGCAGTGCACTTAGGTTCTTTCACATTTTTCTTCTCTGTTTTCTCTTTCTGACTTCACATTTGTCAGCTCTGATACCTCCTTCATTGAGTCACTGGATTTCTTAATTTTTATCTCTTGTTTTCTTATTTTTCCAAGCAATTCATTTAATTTCAGTTAATAAAAATTTTTTATTTTAGTTTTTTGCATACACACACACACACACACACACACACACGGTGACCCATTTTAGTTTTTTTTTATAACCCTTACTCCATATTTTTTCATTTATCTTCAGATAGAGTGAGAGCAAGGGGGTAAGAGAGAGAGAAACACCCAATTGGTTGCCTCCCGTACTACCC